AATACTAGAGTTGCAAAATCTAAAGGTTGAAAAGAAGCTATGATGAACTCAAAAAATAGCTCTCTTTCTCTTTTTTTGTTTTTCTAGAGTGGAGCCCTTCTAAGATTGAAAATAATAATAGAGGGGCTGAAAACAAAGGGGCTAGAAATAAGAGATGAGGACAATGGAAGGGAGAAGAGGGAGGTAGGAACAAGAAATAAGAATAGGAAAATTAGGAATGACACTTGGGAACAAAGCTAAGAACAAGAGATAAGAACAATGGAGGCTTGGAATGAGAAATAGAGACAAAATCAATCATAAGATGGCAAGGAGGGATGTGGCTTTATCAACTCTTCAAATTTAAGAAATTATATTATTATTGATTACTTAATATGGATTATTAATATATGTATATACAAACATAAAACAAATTTGATAAAAAAATATGTATGTATGTATGTATGTATGTATGTATGTATGTATTTATATGAATTTAAATTTTATTTTTTACTAAATATATTATCATTAAATTAAAATCTTTAGAATCTATCAAATATATTCATTCAAAAAAATGAAATGAAGATTCTAAACCAAATAGAAACAAATGCAAAAATATAATTGAAGAAAACTAAATACTGATTCATTTTGTTTTAATAGTTTATTATGCCAATAATAACATGATTGTGACATTTATTTAAATTTCCATCTTGGTGATTCTAAGTGTATTAAACATCAAATTTTGGAAAAAACAGAAGAATTATCTCTGACATAGCTTGTATCATAAAGAGATCTAGCAAAAACCTAAATTGCAACATAAGGTTTTGAAACTTGATATCTGAAAATAAAAATAAAAATAAGGAAGAAAATAGAAGAAAATGTCCTTATTACAACAATCAAAATGAATGTTTCATTTACAATAATCAACTTTGTTTGTAAAAATAATGTTTAAATTTAAACACTTAACGTTTGACCGGTTCAAGCACTGCTACTTTGAAAAGTTTATTACTTCTATGAAATTCAACCATAATTTTGTAGTTAATTTTTTTTTAAATTATTAAAAGTAGGATTAGGAATTGTTAAAACTTTTCCAATGACTCACTTTTTGAGTTCTATACTTTGAGTTGGAAAATGCAATAATAATTAGCTTTCATTTGAATTTAATTCCAACTACTTAACCATTAAGCTTCATATCTTAGAAAAGGAATTGACTAAGCAAATGAGACAACATCTCAACGAATTAAAAAGTGCAAAGGAAAATAAAATAAGAATAATAAAATAATAAAATTCAATTCCTGCAGATACTTGTGCATATTAAGGTACTTTTCAAAAACAATTCAGTGGTTCTTGCACTTTCAATTGATTTTCTTTTTCTTTTTATTGCTTCAAGGATATTCAAAGTAAATAAATATATATATATATAATTAAAAAAATAAAAAATAATTATAATTTTGGTTCTTTTGTATTTTATACAGATATATATATATATATATATATATATAAGTTTAAACATAGACAATCTCTTGAGATAAACTGTTTCTTCTTGGTTTGCATCAATGTTGAAAATTATCAACAACTAATTAGTGATCTAAAATTTTATATTAAATTGAAATAATTAAAAGAAAGTCTGAAATTCTCTAAGAATCCACAAGAAGGTTTGTACCAAAAAATACAGCAAAATAAGTTATACACCTTTGTAATTATTTCGTTAAACTGTAACTATGTTGTAAAATTCTAACAATCCACTCACACCATAGATGAGGAACAGTACTTAATTCACAGTCTAATTATGTTAATGAATGAAATCAAAGTTATGAATCATGGACGAAATTTCTTTAAGTTGTAACTTTATAAAAAATTTTTGTAAAACCAGATTTTGAAAATAACAACCATATTAATTTCATTTGATATATATATATATATATATATATATTTAAAGATAGTTAAAGTTATGATATTTCTTGTGTTATATTTATCAATCCCTTCTAATTACTTAACCCTTGATTTTTATAATTAAATGCAGAAGAAGTGTCAAGTCAAATAGAAATTCTTATGGCACAAAACACAACAACTCTAGTATTCAAATAAACCATAAAAGCTACAAAATGTAGAATGATGGGTTAATTTGAATTCCATTGATAGAAATATCAAAAACATCATCAGCTATATCTGACAAGAGAAGTCATGAAATAAATAACTCAAGTATTCATATTTTATTTTATGATATTGACAATACATATTTATGAACAAAAGTTCAACATTTGAAGAATTTTACGTTTTGATAAGTTCCAATTACTTTCTAAATTTCTGTAAATTAATTTCACCAATTTAAATTAACTTAAAGCAATTTTGATACACATTAATTCGCTAGCACCACATTTTCTGTACGTTAATTAATTAATCAATTAATTTTTTTTATAAATTAAAATAAAGCTGCATACTTAGCCATCTGTTTACAGTATCTCTTCATAGGTAACAGGAAAAAAAAAACGTTAAGTACAGTAATAAACTGGACCAATTTGTCACGAGCCACTATCCCTTCCAAAAAAAAACACAAAAAAATAAATAAATAAATAAATCAATAAATCAATAACAAACAAAGAAAACAAAAAAAACAAAAAAAAAATGAGACAAATAAAAATAAACATGTGTCAGACAGTATTTATCCACATCACAAACAAACGCCCGAAAACCATCCAAAAATCTTCCGACACATCATCCAACAATATCATCCAAAAGTGGAGGTGATCTTCCCCCCGAGTTGACGGTAAACCGCTCACAACATGCCACCTGTTAGGCATTCATTCGAGTTCCGCTCTACACCAAACACTCTCCTCCAACAAGAGGGTAGCGCCACATTAGCATGCCACATGTCGTCCACTCATTGGACGAATCTCTTCCGCTGGAAGATTCTAGATTATTCCTCGATTCCCTTTAAATTTTAAAATTTTATCTTCGATTATGTTTGTTGTTTGTTTTTTTCGAGTTGTGGTGCTTTGGGAAAGAAACCGGAGACACTGGGTCGCAAAGCACCCTCTCTCTCTGTGCCGAAGGTGTGCCGGACACGAGCTTGTCCAACAGAATCTGGTGACGGAGATTGTTCCTAGTCCTTTGCAAAGTATGATCTCGTGCATCGTAGGTTAGGGAGGGCGGCAGGACAGATGCGGTGGATACGAGGCGAGGCGGTCAGGCTTCTCGGGCAGAAGCCCCCCTCAGGTCGCTGTCGACGCGTGCGGATGCCAGCGCCAAGGTTATTAATAAGTTACTCCAATGCCACCAGGTTGATGCTTCTCTCACGTCTTACTGCTCTTCCTGCACTTCAGTACCTTGCTCATGTTTCCGAGGAAGATTTTATCTGCTTCTTCCGTCTCTCCGTGTGAATGATGCCGAGCGCGATGATTTCGGTCTTGTTTGTTTGGATTGTCCCGTGGTCTTGTCAGAGATGGATAACAATCTTGTTGAAACCGTATTCGGAAACGCCATGCTCTAGCTGTTCAGATCTCATGTTACGAAAGCTTTCTTCGATGCTTTTGTGATGTGAGCTTCGTCGTTCATCGGCAGAGTGCATGGTTGATTCATGGGAATTCTATTAACGCTGTTCATTTCTATTGCTGTATTTTATAAGATATATTAAAAACAAATTTGTTGAGTTTTTTCATAAAATCAGAATAACTTAAAAAATTTGAAGTAAAGAAGATAACGAGAGCATTTTCAACATGTGGATAGTTTATGGCTTTAACCATTCATAACTATTGGATTTTCATTTGATCATTTTAAAGTCAGATATTTATTTTACACATACATACATGAATTATTGGAAATGTATTTATTCATTTGTTTATTTTTTATTATTATGTGAAAAGCATTTCCAATAAGAACAAAAAATGCATCTTCATACATGTGAATATATATATATATATATATATATATATATATATATGTATAAGGATACAGTGTTTGTTATGAATACATTTGTTTAATATGAATTTGAGTTAAAAGCATCACTCTCATATTTTGTTAGTTATTTTAGACTTGTTTTTTTAATTCTTCAATCAACTGGTTTAAAGAAAACCATAACTTGAGTTTTATCATTTAAAAAAGCTGAATCATAGTTCTCACCAAAATGTCCTCCACGTTAACAAACAATTCACGTACTTCAAATTTGAAACAATACAATTGTGTAATCCATTTCTAGCTTTACTCATCACCACATCAAAACAATGAATTACTCAACCTATGTTGTAGAATACCATAAACCACATGAACCATGCCAGTTACAGATGCATGCTCTTTCCATATGTCCAAACTCAGGTGAAACATCTCTCACCACAAACATAAAAAAAAACCACATGGAAAAGTCACAACCCACTGAAGAACTGCAAAACAAACTGTGCCAAAAAAAACAACAAACTAAACAACAATTGTAAATGAGAAGCGGAGTAGGAGCAAGAGACTCGCATGGGGATAAAGAAGGAGAGAAAGAGAGAGAGGGGAGTGGATGAGGGTGTGGTATTTTGTCACCTCAGCGGGGATAGTGGTAGTGGTGGCGATGGCGATGGCGGGCCCTAGGAAGACGACGACGACGACGCCGACGAAGAAGAAGCGGAAGAAGAAGCTGTGGCTGGGATGTTCGTCGCAGCCTGGCAAAACACTTTTGTCCCCTTATTTGAGCGATGGGCGACAGGGATTGGCGCAAGGGAGTGTCCGCATGTTGCTGGTTCCAAGGCGAAGAAGCGTGGTGACATCGTCTCGCTTGTGTCTGCTGCCAATCCCTGCCACCAACCTTCGTGTGGTCAGCAAGCAATTCCTTTCTTCCTCTTTCATTCCCCTGCCCTTCTCTTCCCTTCCCCCTTCACCCTAACCCGCGAGTAAGTCTCTGGATCATGATATGACACAAGTATCTTACCTGTTTGTTGTCAGCAAAGATTTCGTACTTTGCGAGAACCAGCCCCTGCTGCGGAACCCCTCTTTGACACCACCACACTCCCCCCCCCCTTTTTTTTTTTTTTTTTTTTTTTTTTGTGAATTTGCGCTCGCCTTGCTTGCCTTTCTTGCAGCTCTTCTACGTGGCGGTTCGCTTGGATGAGTAGATGGATTCTGCTTTTGCATTTCCTACCGTGAGCTGTGGTGGTAGGATGAGTTGGGGTAGTGGGTGCTGAAGTGTGTTGCGAGTGCGAGTGCGAGTGCTCATTTGTTGTTTGAGAATCGGGTGGGTTTTGTTTTTGCGAATGGGAGAGAGTCGAGGATGATGGTGCGTCGCGTTTGTTTGGGTGAATTTGATCACCGTTTGGATGCAATTTGAGAGTGGGTGTGGCCGGGGAATTTGCTTGTGTAAGTTGAGGTACTGTTGGGTTTTTTTTGGACGGAGTGTCATGGAGCTCTATGGAACTGAGAAGTGCGAAAGTCTTGCGCGCACGACTACTGCAGGAGAACGCCTAAACGTAGTGGGTCACGGATACCCTTGACTGAGGCTGGGTACAGAATAAGAAGAAGACGAGGTGGAGGATTATGTTGTTGGCGCACAAGTCGGGAATGATGCCGCCTGCTTGCCGAACACCAGGGTTTCTCGGGGAGAATGGGAGGGGGGGTGAACATGAGGTGTCTGATGTTGATGCGTTGCGGATGCAGCTAGCTGTCAGCAGTGTGAAGAGCTCTAGCCAAGTCGCGTCCTCCAAGGGCTCATCCTCCCTCACCTTCGAAGCTCCTGATATTGATGATGATGCTGGTTCTTCGGATAAAGAGATTCCCAAGGTCCTGTATGTTCTAGCGGCTGTGCTTGACCGCCTTGTTGCTAGAAACGAACAGTTCTCCAATGCACCTTCCCAGCAGGGGAAGAAGCTGACAATTTTCCATGGGTTAAGAGCACCCAACATCAGCATTGCCAATTACTTGGAGCGTATCTTCAAGTATACCAGTTGCAGTCCATCATGCTTTGTCGTCGGCTACGTCTTCCTTGATCGTCTTATCCATAGGCAACCCGATTTGCTCGTCACTTCTCTCAACGTGCACAGGCTACTGGTGACGAGCGTCATGGTGGCTACCAAAATGCTGGACGATGTGTAAGTCTCGGCTATCATCTAATTAAAGTCGAGCTATTCGTAGTTCCGTCCCCAGTGAATTGACTTGTCTTGCATTTTGTAACCCATCTGTGCTTCTTCCACATGTTTCTCCCTGCTACTGTTGAATATGATGGTCCGAAAATCTTGGGTCGGGGGATAAGTGATCACATCTTCGAAGGTCTAGTATATCAGGTAACCAAAGCCGCACTTAATTAGCATCTCTTCCCGTATCATCAACCGTCCTCGGTCTACGCTATATTGCACTTTGAATGCTCAGGTTGACTGACATCATCCAAATTCCTTGTCTGCAGGCACTTCAACAATGCTTTCTTTGCAAGGGTTGGAGGTGTGAGTGTTCTTGAATTGAATCGCCTTGAGCTTGAATTCTTGTTTCGCCTGGATTTTAAATTATCTGTCACGATCAGCGTGTTCGAGAGCTACTGTACTTTTCTTGAAAGGGATATATCTGCTCTTGAGAAGAGGCCGGAAAGGATAGAACGAAGCTTGCCTGCTTTTGCCAGTGCTCCTGTAAGTGCTCACGTCAGTGCTCCAGGAACTCCTCGAGGCAGTGCGCCTCCGACTCCTAAAGAGACGTCGCCGAGGTCAAAGAAGAGAATACCCCCCGGGCTTCCTGTATCGTATGCTGGCAGGAAACAGACCGCATTACATTACCAGCAACAACCTGTACCTCATTACTTTGTCAGAGATTCTTCACCTAGTCGTTGATGGAGCTTCTTACTCGCCACTCACGTTGTATTGACTTCACGAAAAGCTTAGGTTGGTAGCGCAGCTGCTTCTAATTAACATAAAGATTGGCTCAGTTTAACGATTTGCTTAGCAAGATCAGTCAGTGTGGCAGCCGAATGCCACCAGCTTTTTTCAGGAAGTTTTGCCAAGCAGAGATAGAGCATGGTGCAGGCTATGCAAGTTGTACATGCGAAGACAGAGTTGGCATTTCAGTTAGGTTGTGCTGGTATCTTCATCAAAGCAGCGCCTCCTCACCAAACAGGAAAGAAACTGGATTACACTTCTGTTGAGTTGAAGACGTGGGTGCAGGGCCGGAATTAGTATCTCAAGGTGGTAGAGTGCTGAGCGTTGCAACATCCTTGCAAGTTTGAGCGAATGCGTGAAGAAGCTTGTGAAGCTGTCAGTATTCAACCCCACTGCTTTTCATGAAACTCTTGAGAAGTAGGCTCAGAGCTGCACAGCTGAATTTCATATCTCTGGGGTACTGTTTTTGATGTGTTCTAGTCTGCAGAAAAGGTGTTGAGAAGTCATGGTGTACATCTCCCAACCGTCCAGATAGTAACTTGCCGTTAGTAGGTAGTTCTCCTCATATTTCTTAATCGCTTTCAGGTATTTGCATGCACAACAGCGATTCTTAACGTACTCCAAGTGGAGAAAATGTAGAGAAATATATTTGTGAAATGTACACATGTGACGACTGTGCCACACAATTAGGTGTCAGTTGAGTTATTTTTCATCTATATCCCGTTCAAGTGAATTCCGTCTACTTCGTTCATCGTTTGCAATGTGATTTGTCCACACGTTGTGCACACTGAAGTAGTAAATTTCTTTCCATCAGTCAGACATCTTCATAATGACATAGCAGTAATCGGGCAGCCAGATATCGTCAGATAGAAACAACTAACAAATATTTCAAAAGTATGTCCCCGTACACCATAGCTATGAAAACATTAACAGTGTGCACCGGTGGAAAAGTGTTGCGAGTGGAATACGCCATATTCCTCTATCCATGTTGAATAAATGGCCATCCTAAAACTCCTTATCATAACACATACGATTTAGATGTTCTTTAAAGAGATAAATTTGATATTCGGTACTTCTACACTATTCATTTAAATCTTTCACAAAATGATTGCCAAAATAAGAACTTTAAACCAGTCGTCCACTTCCGCTGCCACGTTAAGCAGCTATATCACGAAGCAATAGTAATACACAATTTACACCGTCATAATAGCAGTTAAAAGATTGATTTGAACTCTTAATATATGGACCTAGTTACCACTATTTTCAACGCTTCGTCTTCAATCTCTTACTCATGAAAACCCCAACTTCGTTGTTGCTGCGTGCAGAACACATGTACATTAATTTTAAAATGGAAAATTTAGCAACTATCTAAGCATGTCATAATTGTTTATACTACCAAGCGAATTTCACTTGAAGGCGTGACACAACCTCACCTACCTGTTTTCTTTTTCGTCTGCTTGGAGAAAACTGCGAATCTTCACCATCGTAATTGATCTCATGTTTAATGCTATCGTTCACTGACATATCCGCGTGTTCATGCGTTTGAGATGGCAACTTCACAGTTCTAGAATCTTTTCCATAAAAACTGGTGCCAACACCAGGGTTCAACTACGGTCAGTTTATTAATAAAACTCTTTGCTGTCAAGACACGTATCTCATCAATAATTCAAATAATACATTTCCTTAAGATGACCACTTACATCGTACGGCCACAAGGACACACTCAAGCAAACCAACTACGGGCAAGTGGTGGGAAAACCTAACAAAAGGAACTTAGTGAGAAGCTAATTGAATATTCAAAGAAAACATTACCGATGTTGAACTGAAGGTATTGGTAGTGATGAGGGCTGTTGCTTGAAATGTTGCAACATTGGAGCCTGATGGACCTGAGATAACCCTACGAAGCTGGGTGCCTGTGAGCTCCACGACATACGCCCTTGGCTCAATGGTTGGCTGAGCATTTGTGGTAATCCAATAGTCGACGTACGTGACTCTACACCTATTTGCCCACCAGGATTAGTATCACTAGCAACCGCCTCAAACCTGTCCCCCTTGTTTGATTCTCCTGGACTCGAATTTTGGCGCCTTTTTGCAGATCTTTCATATCCTGGCTGCAATTGTTGAACTTGAATATTGTGTTGGTATGGCATCATCAGTGGCATTGAGACTGCATGTGGACTTATCTGCTGTTGAACTAGAGCCTGCACCCCCACTCTGTCTTCACTTCCAGATCCAGTCTACTACAGATAAAATCTACGCTTCCACTCCACACTGATCTATTGTGCCAAACCAGAAGCCCTTAACCTAGGGAGTAATTGACCTAAACTCTAGGTTTCAACTTGCATTATTCATGTACAGGCTTGCACTGGATACTTGAATTCCTCAAAACAATCACATCTACCTCTTAACTAAATGCAAAAGAACTCCTAAAACCTCAAAAGTAGGTGATGTAGACTGTACTTACATGGACTACCCTTCACGTCTGCATAAAGGGGTCCTACAAGTACAAAGTGGAAAGTTACCATTACCAACACCTCTGGACGAATGACTTTGACATGGTCCACAGTCAATGCAGTAGAGGAGCCCTAGACATTGAAGCTGTCCCTGTACGGGCGATGTGACGTTTCGAACTCCAACGGGGAGATAAACGCCCGCTTTAGTGAGTAATCACCATGTGCATACTTGCTTCAGCATGTCCTCCCTTACGTATATCTGGAGTAATATGTCAAGCAAAAGACCAAAGAACTAGAAAGAGACCTGCTGTATTGTTGGCTGAGGCATCTGAATTGGAGCTGGTCTTCGCTTTTGAAACGACTGCTGCTGCGTTTTTGAGACATACTCCATCATATCTGGAAGGTTGCTGCACAAAATGGCGATCAAAGTGACACTCAACACAACATACACGACGTAATCATGATTGGAGTACCTTAGTGATGAAGAGGAAACCGGGTGAAACATATGCATAATGATCTCAACCATATGCTGTGCCTACGAAAGGAATTTCCACAAGAGACCATCCATTGTTTATTATCTTATTCAATGTTTATTAGCTTATCATACTGTACAAGCCAAGAGGGTACCTTCCACCGGCACCATAGGTGTACATCTTCAGAAGTTCTGCGGAAGAACACTCAGTCTTGTAGGTGTCTACAATGCGACGAAGCCCGCTTCCAAGCTTGCGGATGTGGCATGCCAAGAAATCCGCAAGAATTCGCAAAGGAGCCTGTTTGATACCATCAAAACCAGCTGCTGCCAGCATTCTCACAACTGCTTGTTCAGCAAGCTGCAGAGCAGCTTCTTCAGACAATTCATTCCTATGACTGATCCTTAACGTATTACCTACAATAAAACAACACAAACAGGTATAAGACCAAAAAATTTCAAATCGTGCTTCGATTCAAGGAATGTGCATATTAAAGAACGTTCGCGAATGCAAACACCATAACCGAAAAACATAAGTAGCAGCAACCGATCTGAGTCGGAACTTCCAGTGACTTCTCCAGCCCCTATGAGTGGATTCAGAGGAATGAGTTCCTGCTTTCAACTCATCCACAAGGGCATCAAAAATCTCTGTTATGTTTAGTGAGCCCTTCCACGTCTTCCTCCACCCAGCTACAAGAGATTGAAAAAACGAAAGCCCGGCAACTGCAATACATACAAAATCTTCGCAGCGCCTTGAAAGAAGATATTGCTTTCATTGTCTAATTTATTAAATTAGACAATGGAAGCAAGTTTTCTATCCAGATGCCGGTACTAAAGAAGGATGATAACCTGCAAGCAATCCAACACGGCATTACCGTTACCAACCAGGAAAGAACGTAGTTTTTACATCTGGGTAGAAAACTTGCTCCTCACCTCGACCAAGGGCGCCTCCTCTAACGTGATGACTGGAAACTTCTCCTGGAAGTCGATCTTCTCCTCTGATAAACAAACCTGAAGACAGGTCTCGTAGATGATCCAATCTTTCTAAAAAAGCCCCATGTGCACTGGAGCCATCAAATGAAGTATTTGGGCGTGCAGTAACTGCATTTTCTGGTACACAGTTTACTGGATACTGGATCTCCGGCATAAATGGGGTATCGTCATCTCCTCCCTGGATAGACCTCTCATGACTTAAGAGACTTTGCTTTAAGTCCCCATCTATTCGAAATACTGGGCGCCGTTTTCGATGATTTGCTTGATTACAGACATAATCTGCCATTTCCGTAGGAGTTCGAAGACATGCTTCTTGGTCGCCAAATGGAAGCCCACGTTGAGCCAAACGTCGAGCCAGCCGATTCATTCTGTTCATAAGATCCCTCTGCAAATATTGAGTGTACCATAATTCTCCCAGAGTGCGATGATCTGATGCATTTCCAGAAACACTTAATCCCGTCTTTGTATGCGTTCGACTTGCTTGCTTCACAGCACCAGCACAAAAATATTAAATAATGGTAAAAATAGGCCCCAGAATAAAACTCGACCAATCCTTGCAGTATAGACTTAACCTTTGATAGATTTAAAAACTCTAATCTTTCACAACAATCTCAGATATCACGGATTCAAATCACTACTAACCTGTCTGGGGCTCACCAAAGCACTTGAAACGTGATTTGATTGTGATGGTTTGGCAGAACGACTGTTTATCCCAGAATGGCCACTCTCTGCCTCGTTCAATCTGCTTTGACCAAAAATCATAAAATGTTAAAAGCTGAAAAGAATAACAGAATTCAGGGAGTGTGTCAAGCATACACTAAAAACCTTAGGAAGATAAACTACAACGAACCAACGTATAATTGCTAAATAAACTACAGTGAATAAGAATAAAGCCAATGGCATATAGTAAGTAAGTGATAATCCTACGACATGTGAAACAACCCAGAAGATTCTCACTACCTGGTAAAATTCTCGGAAGAGTCCAATCCATGCTATCAAACATAAACACAAAGAAGACAGTGTTCCCAGCGTCAGCATGGCAAATTAAAGGATACGCATATGCAAGTAAACATGGAAAACATACGTACAGATAAGCAGTCGTATTTACGTTTCAATATTCCATCAGAAGGTTAATATTCTCTAGTAGTTTCTAAAATTAGAGATTCATGAAGCTTCCTGGAAATAGGTCAATCCTATCTTCGAACTCAAAGAGGTTAAAGAAAGAGAGTCGACTTTCCCGTTATTTGTGTTCAATACCAGGAATAGATCCAATCATGTACTATACTATCGTCTCTTGCATAGAATTCGTATACAAAGTACCCAGAGCGACACTCGTTACCTTGAGCTCCAAAGATGCCAACGATGGAGATTTCTCTGCTTGCAACCTAGTCCAATCCTCGGCATCATGTTCTAGAGTGAAGTACACATTGTCCGCGTGCAACTGCAAAACTGTTTCACATGTATCATGTTAAAAATGCTAACCCAAGAGAGAATTTCGCATCAACTACAAGTGATTTCACAATTAGCGGTTTAAATTATAAAAACTTCTCCTATTCTGTATCTCCTCACTATGATATGCTTGCAATAGCTTCGCATACAAACTCCATGGCAATATTTCACTATACAAACGCTGAGAACTCATTAAGAACTCACAATTGACAAGCGATTGTAATTTCTGGTAGCAGAAAGCATACATAAACTGAAGGTAAGCGCCACTATTGATGATCATGGCGTTACCGTGTTGCTACATCATGGACTGCTATTCAACACGAATGTTTTACTCTAACAAGATAGTTGAGGCTCTAGCCTAGATAATGATGTCAAAACAGAGCTAGAATTTTTTTCGTGAAGGAGTGTGTTGAGTGCCTCTCTGTTCAAGGAAATACCATAGCTTACATGTTCCTGCCTACAAGATCGACGCCAGGAAATTATATGATTCGTCGTAAAAGTGAAAATCAGTAAAGCATCAAGTTATATTCCAATCAACCACCATCCCGTGTTTCCTACAACATGTCTTCGAGAAAATGAAGCTTCTGTGAGATAAGACTGATTTCCGAGCTTACATGAGTTGTCCAAAGCACTCGGAGGAGAAGTTGCTGCAGATTTGAGATGAAGGAAAACCAATGCTTTGTCAAAAAGCAAAGCTCGTACTCGTAGCTGCAATGCAGTAACGCTAGGGTTTTCTATTTGCATGAAAGCAGACCAGGTACCCGGTGTTGCGAGGTAAGATTGCAGTAAAACATAATCCCTCTCTCCCAGCCACGCCCGCCACACTGAGTTCTCTTCTAACCTCTGCGCCAACTCGTACCCAGCTCCATTGTCTCCTAGTAGTTTCATTATCTCCCTTGTGGCACTTCAACAAAGCTGTTTTGTACCTTGACACTGTATGAAATCTGGTCGAAGTCAAACACACTTGGCCGGAACTTCAGACATCAGATTTTCGGCCTGGGCGATTGGTTTGGTTATAGCCCAGTATTTACAAAGTACTTGGGACAGAAGGGCGGAGTGTCTCACGCATTGGCTGGTGTCTCCATTAACATTGACTAGCTCAAATTTCAACCGGTTCTCTAGTTCGTACGCCAAATGGATTCTTAACCAAAAATGCTTTGGGTTGTATACGAAACTTTATTCGCGCTACTCATTAACATACGAGGAAGATATGTAATAGAATCGCTAAATAGGCTACGACCATCACTTATTTCATTTCTTACGCAGCACTCGATTTGATGTAACAACTGCTCAATGACAAAGACCGCCTGCCAAGAAGACCACTCCAGCTTCTCTGGTAGTAAAATAAATTAAAAAGGAGACTCAGTTAGAGATTTCCACTCACCTACTGCAACAATATCCACGGTTGACGCACTTCAAAAATATCCTACAGTAGCAAATGCGTCGTAATTCATCTTAGACAATCACTAATCTCACTTGACTACATCCCCATTCTAAAAAAAGAAGAAAGCAGCAAAAATAGAGCTGATGCATTGACCATGTTAACACTTCTGAATAGGAACATGATACACAATCTGACCCGAGCTTCATAGCCATTTTCAGGTATGACCATAACCTCTGCGGCAAGTAAAAATACAGGGCAGAAACAGGATACGCGTAGAACCAACACCAAATAGAGAGCCTGAGGACAATCAGATGCTACACAGGAAACCTCTCACTTACCCTCGAAAAAATCTCTGCTTCAAGGCCCTGTTCTGCACAGGTTCGGGAGCCGATTGGGGTGCGATATGCTCCCAGAAACTCTCAAAAAACGCATGAGAGACTACATCAGGGCGTTGCAACTAGAAAGGCACCGCAGAAGACAAGTACGCGACCAGACATACAACGGAGCTCGCACATCGAACCACAAAGTGAACAGGCAAAAACATAACAAACGGGACCCTCTTCACCTCTTCTTCTCCTCCCCTTACCAACGAGGAACTGTGATATGAACGACTGCACGTTGGAGCATTCGTCGGAGAACCGAAAATCGTTCCGCATTTGCAACGACGTTGGTTTGTCGACTCACCCTCGTCGTCATAAACGAAGTCTCGTCAGGGAAGGCTTCGTCCGTCTTGTCTCGTCGAAACCCGATGGTAAGAAGAAGTTACCGCTGTTAACCAATGGGGCTAAATATGTTACTTCGTTTTATTGGTGTCGGGTGCAAGGTAATTTGTTTTTACTACCATGGTCTTTAATATACTCATCTTCCATCGTGTATAGACATTGACATATGAGCACTAGTTGTTGAGTTAAAGCATGTAACAAAATTTATAAGAATGACGAATGAACTGAACATAATTAGTGAATGACTTTATCTTTCTCATTAATTACTCTCTCTCCCTCCATTTTGGTATTTTTTTCTTTCTATTCATAGTTTTGTGTATATACATGTTAAGAAGCTTTTTAGTATGCAAAATCATTTTCTTCGTGTGTATAGTAGGTGTAAATTGTTATTAGATGTATGTTATTATTGACATGTGATGTTTCTTTTTTTTCTTTTTTCTTTTTTTTTTTGGTTTTTTGAAGAATTGCAAAAAAATATGCCATTTAATTTAGAAGGGAGACATACAAAGGATGGATGGTTAATAGAAGATGCAATGTATTGTTGTTAACATATAAACATTAAAAAATTAACAATCCAAATAGAATTCTATTTATTTCATTACATCCAATTATAATAGTTAATTATTAGAGTTAACAATGTTGAGCAAATAAAAAAATTATTTTGAACAATTAGATTTTATTTTTATCATTAAATAAAAATGTTAAAAAATTCGATTTAAAATAAAATCTTGGTCTTATTATAAAAAATAGCCATATTATTTTAAGTACTTATAGTTTTATTTTTTTTATTTTTATAATTTTATATTTTATATTAATATTTATTATTATTATTATTATTATTATTATTCTATTAATAAAATCAATTATAAAATATTTAATTCAATTTTTTTAAAAAATATGATTATATGAAAAAGTATAATATAGCAATTTTGTAATTTAGGTATTTATTCAAAATCTCTAAAGTACATTTACTACACTTTCTTACATAGTACCGAAGTCAATAGAACAACATTCATATTATAAAACTTTTTTTTATCAAAGAATTTGATAAAACAACAAAAAGAATCTTATTTATACAAGCCTTCTCATAAGATTTTGTTTGGCATTTATAATAAATAAAAGCTCTCAAGTAATTATTTTACCAATACCTATTGCTACATTTGTTTAGAATTAGGTTTTCTATTGAAAATCTTTGCATGTTCTATGTATTAAATTAAAAAATATATTTTTTTAATTTCAATTTATTTGATGCTTTGCTTAAAGTAAAGTTTTTAAAAACAACCAAATGAAAGAAAAATAAAACTATTAATAATCACCTACCATCATTCCATTTATGTTCTATTTAATTTTTATATTTTTAGTGAAGATTTGGTTGTACTTTTTAACAAGAATTGACCTAACATTAATTTTTTAATATAAATATAAAATACTAATAATCCATCATCTGTACTTTTTATTTACTTTAAATCTATAAAAAATGACATATTTGAGTCAAACATCCTTTGATTAGATATTAAAAAATAGTATTACTTGGAAAAATAAATAACATCTACTAATGAAATCTTTTTTATTTAAATTATTCCTTAAACTTTATAAAATATTCTATATTTAAAAAAACATAGATTTTAATAGTTTAGAAGAAGTGGTAATACAAATAGAAAAGTTAGATTAAATAATTATATAAAGAAGTGGAGCAACAACCAACTCAAGGCTAGTCTAGACAAATTGTAGAAATAACCAAGACAAAGCAATTTTTGGTACAAATATCATAAATTCTATTTGGTAACTATAAACATCACCTTGAAATTTATCAACAAACTAACTACTATTAATGATAAGTAAATGCATCATTATCTTTGCTATGAATGTCTTTTATATTTGATAAGTTTAAAAGTATTGACAAAATATTGTTGATAGTATTCAATGGAAAAATAATGATAGAATTTATATGTCATAGATATAAGCAAAATTTATATTTACTTAGATATGACAAATTAGATAGCAATAAGTAGAAATAGATAAATTTGATTATATCTTGTGGATAAGGTTTTTAGAATCTTTATAGGTATTTGTGTGATTTTACCTAACTCTTCGATTTGTCTCTTAAATAAGTCTTCTATTTTTTATTTTATTTTTATTTTTTTTCCTCTCTCTCTCTCTTTCTCTTACTATTGGATTTTGAATTTTTTGAATTGTTTCCTATCTTTCTTTTGTTCTTTAAATTTTGGTTCTTGGAGTAGCTCTTTTGGTGATGGCATCACACCTTTGAATGTTTTTATTGCTCCATCTTTTTACCATTTGTTAAAATTGATGTCAAGTTTATCTATTATTAATTCAATTCTCCTATTTATTCCAAGCACTATTTTTTGGCTTGAATTTTTTCCTATCTGTTACATGTCAATGAGATATGTGGTTTCTCTTTTGGCAATGTTCTCTTTGGAGCTAATTTGTCTTCTTATATTTCTATCTACTTCAATTGTTTCTTATTGTTTCTTGAGCTTGTATCTAGCCAATCTTTTTGTTACTTGTCTCTTGGCTAATTCTTCCTTATTTAACTCTTAGTAGGCTTTTTCTATTATAGTGCACTTCTCCCTGTAGGTACCTTCTTGTGGTGTTTTTTGGATTTTTCTTGCTTTGCCTAGTGTGCAAAATCAGCCTCTTCTAAGTGATCATTTAGATAGGTGTTGTAGATCCTTGTCTTAGCCTTCTTTTGGTCTCTTATATAATAGTCCTTCTTGCTTCTAATTTTTGATAAGCACATTCTTATTCTTTTTGATTTGTCAATATTTATTGCTTCTACTTAAATTGTTTATCTATCCTATAGATTTTTGAAGTTTTGGATTGTAGTTTAGGATTCCTATCAAATAATGGTACAATACAACAAACAATTTTTTTTTAAGGTCTTTTTGAACTTTTTAAATATGCTCTTTGGATTTTTAATGAAACAATTTCAATTGTACTCCTTCTTGATTTTATTTTCATTCTTTTATATAGATCTTATGATTTATTGGTCCAATTTTTTTTCACTAGATTTTTGTCATTGATATCCAAGTTTTTTTTTACTATTTATTTATATTATTCATTGTTTTTCTCTTTGTCTTTTTTTTTATGGATTTACCATCTAGTTCTTTGTCTAGTTAGTAAATCTACAATTTATACTATCAATTCCTATATTTATGGCTATATACTATTTTTTCTATGATTCATTTGTGCGTTGGATTGTAATAATTAATTATCTAATAATAAAGATGCTTACCTCAAAGTCCATCTTTTTTTGCTATTGGAGTTGTCTTTAGTTCTATTTGTTGTGCAACTGCAATACACATGTTAAAGCTGGTCTTCTTTATATACATATACTCATAAAAAACAATACAAGTTTTTTCCTTTGTAATTATAAAAGCTTAGTCACTATACAAATAAAATGGTATGCAATATATATATATATATATATATATATATATATATATACACACACTCTTATTCTATTACGCTTCCTTTTAAAAACTTTTGACCTCAAACAAGCCAAAAAATCCTTATTCTCTCTTCTAAAATCCTAACAAATACTCTAATCGTAATTTCTATTATAATTAAATCCTTTGTCCTTCTTAATTATCATCCACCTAAATAATCTTCTATCTAGCTTGTCATCTGTTTTATCTATCATCCATCTTATCTATCATCCATTATGATCAACTTTCATACATCCAACCTTCAATCTTTGTGTCTCTCTTTTAAAAGCTTCTATCTATAACTACCTAGGAAGTTGGATCAACTTAAGTTCAAGCCTTTTATCATAGGATTTACTAGCCTATATGCTTAGTCTAATAATTATGTAGTTAATAATAGTACCTTCATGGTTGACATTGATAATGTATTAAATTTCTATCTTAAGAGTGTTAACAAGTTTAAAAAGATTTGCTATAGTTATAAATTTATTTTCACTTCCACCAAGTAGATAATCATTTAAAGATGGTTTAATATTAAGAATAGAATGGTTATTGGTAAAGACAAGAATACCAAAGACTCTTGGAATAAGATTAAGAATAAAAAAAACATTGACAAGAGTAAAAAAGACCACTCTTGCCTCTATATGTATTATCTAACTAAGAAATATACAACGACATTCTATAGGGCCTCCAACATGTATTCAATATATAAGACACATGTATAATTTACAAGACAAGTTTCCTACATGTGTACCACATGGTCTCTTTGTACTACAAGTTGACAATATATATAACATATGGCTAATTTTTTGGCATAATTTCTAATCTATTAATTACCTACAAATACATATAAAGTCAAATTTTCATCTATAAAGCATTTAAGAAGTTTTTCTACAAGATATGATCAAATCTACCTACTTTTACTTTCTATCTAATTTTTATTACCTTGATAATTATGTATATCAGTGACAAATATGGTTTTAATATTTTATTTATTTATTTATTTATTTATTTTTATAAAATATTGAAGATTATAAGAATATAGAAATAGTCAATATTATCCATATTACAAGTGTTAATAATTATATGTATTGTTGTGTTAAAAGTGTCACATATCTAATTATTAAGACTAACTTTTAGATAAGTAGAAGTAATAGGAATATGGATTAAGTCAAGTCTAGTAGAGAAAGTAATATTATCCATAGCATGTTATTGGTTGAATTAAAAAAAATATAATATTTGTAATTTATTTTTATTAAATGGATAGAAAAAAATTATATTATAAATAGAAGTTTGTGCAAGTTGTAGCTTGTTGTAATGTTTCTTGGAATTTTATTTATTTGTTTATTTATGTTTTAAATAAAAAAAATGATAGATGCAATTAAATGACTTAATAATAATAATAATATGATGCATATAAATTTTGTAGAATATACTTATGTTTTGTTGTTGGATTGTTCTAATTATGTAGCGAAGTGTTTGGTGGTGAAAGTTTTAGAATGGTGGTCATTCAGGATTTAGTATTATGATTTAGGTTTTGAAGTGAGCTAGGATTGGAAATTGTAAATAAACTCAGTAAAACTTGTATAATTATTATAAATTAAAAAATAGATTATTAGTATACATGCAAGAATCAAGTATGAGCTGTTAGACTATTCAGGCTTTAAGGTTTAGTCTTTGAATTTCAGGTTTAGTTTATAAAATTGCATCATGTAAATATGTGAATTTCAAGCAAAAGATGTGTTACTATGCATATAGTGTTATAAAACAACATATTATATTATAATGTATATTATTTATGGAATAATAATATAAGTTGTACATATTATTATTATAAAATATCATGCTTAAATAATCTTTTAACTTTGTGCATTACAACAGGATGAAATCTAGAGTTTTTCTGAAAGTCTGGCTTGTCATAGCAGCGGAGTTTTGGATAAACATAATCTCAAGAAAGCTTTAATTACCATCCAAAATACTTAAACTAAGAGTAAGTATGTTAGGCATTCACAGCAATAACTTCGTGCAAAAACAATCGGCACAACATGAATTTCACAAGCACAAAACATTCGCTTTCTCAGTAGGATTGTTTGTGTTCATTTTCCTACCAAGAATTCGTGTGTTACGAATTTTTCCATTTTATGGCATGATACTTGTGACTTCATGTGATCTTCGCTTTTATGCTTATCAGTGTGGGAATTGTGTGGATAATGAAGCCAAAGCTACTAACAGCAGTCGATCACGTCGTCTCAAAAATTTCTGTCTTCCAACAAGCTATCCACCCATTTGGTATTAAGATCGAACAGTCATTGACCAACCAGTGAACGGATGAGCAATATCCATCCTTTAAAGCAAAACACCACACTCTTGAAATCCACCCACTTTCACCATAACGAAGAGCATTACATGATTTACCCAAAGTTTGTACAAATAGATAGGCAAGTTATCACATATACAATGGGTTGGACCTATTTAAAGACATCGCTGTTGACAAGAGACTACATGGAACGAGCAGAAAACCACAGGGACGTTTAATGCATATCAACGGAGAGTAAAGTTAACACTTGAGATGATAGCCACCAAGATGCAAAAAATGTCGAAGACCTGCTAGAGGAACCCAACATTTGAAACAACGTTGTTAGGTGCTCTTGATTAGAGTCATACCTGACAAAGCTCTTCGCGAAAGAGACGCGAATGTTCTGACACCCCAGATTGCAATCCCCACTGTAACAGTTTGCGGTATTGGCAACGCATACGCATTTGAAGCGTTCATTGCTTGATAATCCACATCCACGGTCGCAACGCAATCGAAGGATGATGAAACTACGGTGGATGAACTTACAAGGCGAAAACATCTACAGACATGCGACTTGTTCCGTGCCCGCTCGGCCGCCGACTCCTCTTCGCGCGAGCTCTCTCGCTCTCTCGCTCTCTCACACTCTCAGTCTGTATCTTCCAATCGCGTTGCAACCCAGTCCATCGCGTGAAAGTGATCGACATTTGCCGGAACAGGTTCCAGTGCATTTCTGGAATTGTCGGCGTGCTTCACGTTGCGCTTCCGCTCGGAGCCCAATTGACGCGCTAAATGGTGGTGGAAAACGTGGGAGCATTGTCTTGTAATTCAGGGTGTGTCTGCAAACCCTAACTCATGTGTTATATCGGGAGGTATAGATGCGTTTTACAATTGTATTCGATGGCTGCAATTTTTGGATTTGAGCATGCATGTGTGGTGAGGTTTGCTTTGAAGGGAGTGTTGGAAGTGCGAAAGTACAGATGGGATTTCTTGGTGTTTAGTCAACTCAGCAACAGGTTTCTAAATCGTTTTTTTTGTGAGGATGTATAGTCGGATGTCGATAGAATTACAAATCTAATATGGGAGGAAAGGTTAGCTATTTTCATCGCCTAGTCTCTGTTGTCGTCTAGGAAAATTCAGAAACATTTCAGTATTGGAATTATTGTGATGGAGGTTTTCTTCATACACCAGTTCAGATTGAGTCAATAGACCAACTACAATTTTGTGATGTGTTATGATTCTCAGGATGGATTGGATGGGTTGGAGTGAACATGATCTTATATGTAGCGCACAAGTGAATCATTGAATGAAACTAGTTCTAGTTGCTTGGGAGGTTTGACCTGATCAGCACATGATTTGATAGAACTTTGCACAATCGGAACAATCGTAACCATTTGAGGCAATATACTCATTTTATTAGATCTTGGATATGTAGATTTAGGAGCAAGGACAAATAGTTATACTTGTTTTACACGGTGGGAGATTAGGAATTGGTAGTATGCACATAAACTAGAATGGAGTGGGACAGTAAAATTACAAAAAATGCAAAAACAAAAGTTTTTAAGTAGAGGTTGGTGGTGTACTATTGCAAATGTGTTGTCATAATGCAATGATAAGTGCACAAGATATAAGAGTGAAAGTGTAAAAAAGAATGAAATCACTTTGAAGATAGTCATAGAAATAGTCATTAGATTAATAGCTTTTATGGATGTGATTTATGGCTTTCTACATGAAATTTATTGTAATGGATGGAAGTGTTGTAGAAGAAAAGAATGTTTTTGTGTGGAGTATGGTTGTCTTAATTTGTTAATTTTTGGGTTTGATGTAGTTTTGATAGTGGTGAAAGATGTTAATAGAATCATAGATATTATTGTGTTTTGGGGTGGGAAGGGAGGTAAACAAAAATAATATATATATATATATATATATAGTTTTGAAGTGTTTGTTGATTTTTTGAGGAAAAAATGTTATATTAAATTAATAATATAGTTGATTTGCAATAGGGGTGTATTATAAGATTATGCAAGATCTTGTATTAGGATTGTATACATTGTTAGTAGAAAAGTATTTGTGAAGGAGATATGTAAGATATTATGGTTTAGTGTATGAATATTAATGGAAATACATGTGTAAAAATCAATATGGTCTTTAACATTTTATGTTTTTACATGTTTTGATGGAAAGTTGAAGATTATAACAATGTGACAATAGCCAATATATTCAAGTTTATAAGTGCTAATAATCATATTTATTGTTGTGGCAAAGCTAATTTTTAAGTCAAAGGTAGATGTAATAAGAATGTAGACAAAGTCAAGTTTTGTAGAGAAAATAGTTTTATCTATGGTATATTAGTTAGTTGAACTAAAATAAAGTGAAAAGAAACAATGTTCACAAAACTCTTTCTTTCAACATACAAAAAAGTAATGTACTTGATAGTCATCCATATGGGAAGCATAAAATTAATAATGATAATAAAGATTTGGATTTGAAGTTTAGAAATATGGCATAGTAATATTATTTAGGTGTTGTGGTTTTGAGGTGTATATTAATACAAAGTGATTTATTGATTTACTTATTTTGCATTATTGTAAAATTTGTATGTATAAGAAATGCATTACTTATGTAAAAATTTGTAACTTGTTATGTGTTGGAATTATGTTGTTTTATAGTTGGAAAGATTATATTACAACAATCTAAACAACATGTTTGATAAAATTAGAAGTACTTGTTTTTCAAGACTTTGATTGTTAAACTATGATATTGATCTTATATCAAGAGATGACATAAGAAGATTAGGCATGTTTTTTGAATTATAATAAAAATCTCAACTTAAAATATTTTCTATTAAATATAGTATTTTTATTCTATATAAAAGATGTATTAAACAAAGCAAGATATATGCTAAATGACAAGGATGTTTGGAAGAGATTTAAGACTTTGAATGTCTTATAATTGAAGAATTATATCTTTATTCAAAGATTTCCAAAGCTATTCTTTAAAATGACTACACTATTAGAACTCGATTTAGAAAGGTATTCAAATTTGGAGATATTACTTAATTCAATAGAATATTTTATATTATTAAAAAAAACTCACTTTAGAAAATTATAAAAAATTAAAAACATTATTAAAGTAAGTATGAAGTTTGAATTCTTTGAAAAATTTAAATATAGATGGTTGTCATAACTTGACATTATTGCCAAATGAATTGAGCAACTTCACATCTTTGACTACTTTACATATGTAAAGATGCTCAAGTTTGAAATTATTGCCAAATGATTTGAGCAACTTCACATCTTTAACTACCTTCAAAATAAAAGGATATTCAAGTTTGTCATTATTGCCAAATGGATTAGGCAACTTCACATCTTTAGTTACCTTCAAAAATAAAAGGATGTTTAGGTTTGTCATCATTGCCAAATAAATTAGGCAACTTCACATCTTTAGCTACCTTGGACATATCAAGGTATTCAAGCTTAACATCATTGATAAATGAATTCGCCAACCTCTCATCTTTGATTACTTTGGATATATCATACTATTCAAAGTCGACATCATTGCTAAATGTATGGAGCAATTTCACATCTTTGATTACTTTAGATATATCATACTATTCAAGATTGATATCATTATTAAATGAAATGGACAACCTAATATCTTTGACTACATTATATTCAAGCTTAGTATTCAAGCTTAGTATCATTGCCAAATAAATTAGGCAACTTAACATCTTTGATTATCTTTAATATAAGTTAGTGCTCAAACTTGATATCATTGCCTAATGAATTGACCAACTTCATATCTTTATCTATTTGTAAAATAAAAAGATGCTCAAGCTCAACATTATTGTCAAATTGAATTGAGCTACCTCATATTATTAACTATCTTCAATATATAATACTATTCAAGCTTGAAATTATTACTAAGTAAATTTGGCAACTTCATATCTTTGACTACCTTGGATATGGTTGAATATTCAATCTTAATATCATTATTCAATGAATTAAGTAATTTGACATCTTTAACTACCTTTAATATAAGTGAGTGCTCAATCTTAAGATCATTACCAAATAAATTGGATAATTTCATATATTTGACTACCTTGGATATATCAAGGTGTTCAAGTTTGATATTATTGTTTAATGAATTGGGCAAGTTTACATCTTTGATTACTTTTGATATAAGTGAATGCTCAAGCTTCACATAATTGTCAATTAAATTGGATAAGCATATCTTTAACTATCTTTAAGATAAGGTGGTATTCAAGCTTGATATTATTGTTTCATGAATTAGACAATGTCACATCTTTGACTACTTGAATTCAAATATACTTCATCTTTACTACTTAAAATTCTTTCATCTACCAAATCTAATATATATATATATATATATATATATATACATACAATAGATTTATATTATATTTTGCAATGCTTGATAACTTTGAAGATTCTTCTTAATGCCTTAATTTCATGTATTGAGTCATTTTATATTTATTCTACATTTTATATTGCTCTCAAGTTTTTAAAGGCTCTTGAAGGAATTATAAGCTTAGTTGATTAGTGATAAGAATATGAAGGCTAGTAAATATTGTAAAAGATATATTTTTCTTAAACTACTACTTTGTACAAATATAGCTTGAGTAGGATGTAATTTGTTATAATAATAATTGAAAAAGGATTGGATTATCTCTAAGATCTATGACCCTTCCAATTAATATAAATTTTGTCACAACGTAAGACAACATAGACTAGAAAAAAAATGAATAGAACTAAATAAAATAAAACATGATAGGCAAAATAGAGCAAAAGAGAATAGAAGAGAATTAAACAAAAAGATGCAAAACCAAACATTACTAAGAAAAAGGGAGTGAAGCCATACCTGATCAAATACTCAAATGGCCTTGGCCAATCCTATTTATACTTTGTTCAACTATCTTGGATTTTTTTTGAATGTTCCTAATGGTAGATCCCACCTAGATAACTACCTTAAGTTGCTTCTTGAATATTCCTTGGTAGATTTTATATAGACCACCAACCTAACCTCTATTCTAAAAACTTCTAAAAACTTCTAAAAACTTTTAAAATATGGCTTCAACTACCTATTTTCATATGTTGATAATATAAATATCTTATCTATATACTATTATAGTAATAAAGCTTGCATTATTATCTTTAATAAGATAAATAATTTTTCTTCAAAGCTTAAAAAAACTTTAAAAAGTGATATTGAATGACTTTATTGAGATAATATTTAAAACTAGCAAGAACTTGTATTTTAAAAAATAATAAAAAAATATCATAGACATATATTAATTATTTAAATAAAAATTATTAAATACATGATAAATATAAAAATATTTAATAATATATTATAAAATAACTTATAAGCTTCTTAGACATAGCTTTGATTTTACACATATTTGTAGATGATTAATAGATCAGAAATTAGGCCAAAAAGTTGGTCACATGTTATACATATTATCAATTTGTAGTAGAAGTTTTCCATGTGGCATACATGTAAAAAACTTCTCTTGTAAATTAGATATGTGTATTATAAGTTGGATATGTCTTAGAGGTCCTATCGAATGTTGTGAAGTAGCTTCAACTTAGATAGTACATTTGAAAGTAAGAGTGAAGTCTTTTTCACTCTTATCAATGTCTTTTTTTATTTTTAGTCTTATATCAAGAGCCTTTAGTTTTTTTGTCTTTAATAGTAGCAATTCTAGTTTAATATTATTTAATCTTTAAGTGATTATCTATTCTTTTTTATGAAAAAAAAATTCGTTTTTGTTTTGTTTTGTTTTGTTTTTTTTATTCTTTGTAATTCACATCTTTAACAAAAGATTATTAATCCAACTTATTTTTTTTCAACTCAATCAAGTAAAATTTTATAATTAAAAAGAAAGTTTTGATGGAGTGCATGTCATAGACATATATATTTATTTAGATTAAAATAATTAGATAGAAATAAGTAAAAAAATTAATTAATTAATTAATGATATCTTATAAAGTCTTGCTTGAAAATGCACCGGGCACTTCATTGTGGAGGGTAGAAGAAAAATTGCAACAACAAGATCCTAACAACTCTAATAGAATCCTAAATAAACTCCAATTAAATCTTAATAATACTAATCAAGCTTTAATCAAATAAAAAAAAAACTCTTAAAGAAATTACAAAAGAAATATAAAAGAAATTCTAAAGAAATATTAGAGAAATCATAAATAAATCTTAATAAAATCATACTTTAATCCTAATTAAAATCCTAATGGTCTTTAACTAAATCTTAGGTCAAATCTTAATTCTAAATCAAATTCTAGACAAATCCTAAATTCTAAATCAAATCCTAAATAAATCCTAAAACTTAAATTAAATCTTAGATAAATCCTAAATCCTAAATCAAATCCTAAAAAAATCCTAAGCCCAAATCCAAACTCTAGATAAATCCTAAACCAAATTAGAATCCCAATATCTATTGATTAAATTTTTGATCTTCCTTAAAAATTTATATACCTCTCAACTTCTTAGTTAAAAAAAAAGTATAACAAATTTGAAGATTATTGCACTTATTGAATGAAAAAAATCCTAAAATCCGCTCAAGTATTGGCCAACTTCTTACTCCAATTTGCATATTGAACTTCCAATGCCAAAATCTCCTATTGAATCATTGATGTTTTCTCAAAATTTACTTAAATTATAGGAAATTAAGTCTAATCTCTATACAAAAATATTTCATTTCAATCCAATCAATAAATTACTAATGATCTTAA